GTTGCTGCTGATCTGTTTCAATGTTGATGTGTTCATGCGTGCACATCTGCTCACAGACTCATGTTCATGTTTGTGGTGATGTTCAATGTTTTATGTTATGAGTGCTTAGTGTATATTTAGTTGATGTTTTTCTTAGTTCATATCTTTGATGTTATTACTGTTTTTCTTATACATTTTATTGTTGGATGTAACTGGGACCCTGCGTACATAATTTCGCTCCACCACATGTACCACATGAGGTGCGAATGACAATAAAGAAACTCTGACTCTGACTCTGACTGATAACAGGTGTTACTCTGATCTTTTTTTTAACGTGTGTAATGTTATAAAACACTGGCATGGCTATATTGATCATTGTATTGCATATAAAAAAAAAATCTAACAAATATGTGTTTGCAGTCTCGTTTCCTTCTAAAATTTAATGATAAATGTATCAGCCGCTTCTAAAAATGCTTTGATAAAATGCATAGTCTGTGAAATAATCAGTAATCAGTTAAGTAATCAGTTCGTTACTGCTCAATAATTACTGAAAGACGCCAGGTAAAGTAAGAAAAGTCGATTTTTGTGTTATGCTGCGCCAGCAGCCGCTCAAACTGATTGACAGCGATGAACTGTTTGGAACTATTGGGAGCTGCATGAACCACGTGACCGCGTATCGGCGAGTTCAATCTGTCGCAACTCTCTTTATAGGGCTCTGGTAGAAACCAGAGCCCTGTAAAGAGAGAGTTGCGACACTCCCATAGACTCCCATAGAAAGAATGGAATGCGGAAGTCACGTGGGTCATGAAGCGGCAAAGAGTTCCAAACAGCAGCGGGTTCAGCATTGAACGTAGTTCATTCTCCGTGTTTTCCCGGTAAGTTGATGCAAATACGACACTTTTTTGCCATTGTGAAGCGTTATCTGACTGTTCTGTACCTCAGTTTATCAACATTAATACTTCATGTCTCCAGTTTTAGTTAATGAAACATGTTAAATTGCTAGTTGTGTTTTAACTGCAGCTGCTCTGCAACATGACGGTTTAAACGTGTCTATTTCTAATTCAGTGTTTTAAAATATCTATTACTGCTTACATTTTGAAAGGTGGTCTTTTTTAAATTTATGGTAATTCCAGTTACTGAACTCAACTAGAAAATATTTGGTCTTTTTTCCTGAGAGATTCATTCAACCTTTATTTCTACAGGTAAATCCCATTGAGCCTCGAGGACTCATTTACAAGAGAGACCTGATTTAACAAAGAATGATGACAACATGACAACAAGACTGATGTAATTTAGTTCAAGTTATAGATCATTTGTCAAAGACTGCAGCATAAATTGTGACATTATCATTAAAGAAAAACGTGATTGTGGAGATGAGTCAATTTTTTCATGTTTTCCAGGTAAACCAGAGGAGAATGACTTCATGAACTGAATGTTGCATTCAAAGTATCACAAAGGTACAAGATCTCATTTTCTGTCTTCTATTAATCAATAACAGCTGAATCAAGATGTTTGAATAAAATTACTTTAACACCATAACCTTCACAAAGTTATTTACTGCAGTTATTTACTGCAGTATTTACTGCAGGACTGTTCATTTACATTAGTTTTATATTTTTAGTTTAGTGTTTGGTAATCATGGGTCAAGTTGAGATGAGACTCTTTCAAGACAGAACAAGAAATAAGAATTATTACAAGAATATATCAGCATCAATAAACTGTAGAACAGTAACAAAACACTTATTAAACTATCACAGGTACATTGAGATGGAGCTGGAAGTTATTCTTCATGCCAGTTGTCTTCATCTGATCTTTTGTAAAAATATGCCAATTTATTTTCCATTAACATTTTTCTTCGCAGGACTGAGTTAATTTTCTTGTCTGTGAGTTTCTTCTGTCCTGCTTATGGATTTTGTGTTGTAATTGTTCCTCAGGTTGTTCATCTCTGTTCCCTGACTGCCTGTTGATCCATCCTCCTGGTCCTGTTGATCCTGGATCATCAGATCCTGACATGTCCTTGACCTTGACCTTGACCTCTCTAAGTGGCTTTAAGAATCTGTTGGACTCCTGGCAGGGACCAATGCAGACATGTTCCTGTTTTTAGTTTTATACATTTGTCTTGGAATCTAGCTGTTTTTTTGTTTTGTTACCTTTTTCCTTTTAGCCATCCTATTTGTTAAAAAAAACAAAAAAAAAAAAAAAAACTGTAGTATGAGTTTTTATAACTGCTTATTGTTGTTGCTGTTGTCCATTGCTGTCATCTTTCTTTGTTGAAATCAGGTCTCTCTTGTAAATGAGTCCTCGAGGCTCAATGGGATTTACCTGTATAAATAAAGGTTGATTGATTGATTGATGTCCCCGTCCTCTGAGGACACATTTTCATCTTTCCCTCATCTCACTCGCCTCATTTCTGTTTCTTCCTCAGTCTCTGAAATTACAACGTCACTGTTAGAATGAAGATTATTGTTCAATAAAAATATGACAGGAATTATTTAACACTGTTCGTACCAAAGTTTAATTTAGAACAACATGTGTGATCACTGGTCAGATCAATGGTCAGGTCACTGGTCAGATCACTGGTCAGTGGAAGTTCTGCTGTTCTTCTCATCTGGTTCTGGTTGAACCTCCTTCAGTCTCACACGTCCTCACTGTGTCTCAGTCTCACTCGTCCTCACTGTGTCTCTGTGAAATGTCCTCTCTCTAAATGTTCCTGTAGAGTGACATTAGTTTATTTTCTTGCACATTTCTTTGACAGTTAAACATTTTGAGCCCTGATTGAAAATGTTTGTGCAGATTAAATTTACAGCTCTCACTTTGTGTTGTTGTGATGATGATGATGGTGCTCCTGCTGACTTGAGATGATGTCATTAATAAACAGTATAAATAGTAGTAAAAGTACTTTATTAAAGCTTGCTTTACATTTTACATATTTTATAATAAATTGTTTGGAAATTTATTTTTGCACAGTTAACACTTATTTTGTCATCTGTTATGATTTTAACTAGAAACAGTTTCATTTAAATTAACATTTTAATCAATGAATTACAGTTTTACAATAGTTGTCAGGCTACAATCAACTCAGTTATCAGGTACTTAGTTGCCATAAAAAAAAACAAATACAACAATTATATTCAGTCTCTCTTGTAAATGAGTCCTCGTGGCTCAATGGGACGAACCTGTTTAAATAAAGGTTGAATTAATATCTTCTATAGAAATCAATAATTCATCCAGATGATCTGAGGTAAGCTGGAGCAGATCTGAACTGCTGGAGGACAAGGTGGAGCATTATCCTGCAGTGAACATCAGAAATAGCTTTATAACAGGAGTTACTCTGATCTTTTATTTATCGTGTGTAACGTTATAAAACACTGACATGGCTATATTGATCATTGTATTGCATATAAATTTTTTTCTAACAAATATGTGTTTGCAGTCTCGTTTCCTTCTAAAATTTAATGATAAATGTATCAGCCGCTTCTAAAAATGCTTTGATAAAATGCATAGTTTGTGAAATAATCAGTAATCAGTTAAGTAATCAGTTCGTTACTGCTCAGCAATTACTGAAAGACGTCAGGTAAAGTAAGAAAAGTCGATTTTTGTGTTATGTTGCGCCAGCAGCCGCTCAAAATGACTGACAGCGAAGAGCTTTTTGGAACTATGGGGAGCTGCATGAACCACGTGACCGCGTATCGGCGAGTTCAAAGAGTGTCGCAACTCTCTCTTTACAGGGCTCTGGTAGAAACTATTGTAGAATTGTTATTGCATAGAGAGGGCACTAGAGGGCAGTCTAAGACTGTTTGTAAAGTATAATATGCAGTGTGCAGAGTGAGGAGGGAGTGAGGAGAAAGGAAGGCAGAGACATGGAGAGAACTGAAGCTGGGCGTCTGCTTATTTTTACTTTAATTCAACTTTAAGTCAACAAATGTTTAAGAGTTACTGAAGCAGCGATAATGATTTTGCTCTGGTCTCTCTCCCCTCTTCTGCACCGCGGCCCCTGAACCTGCTTAATGCAGCAAAATTATGTTCGCAGGCTCGGCCTGTGTGCTCGGAAACATGAGCAGGGACAGAGATTCAGACATAGGGGCGGCGCGGCCGGCCGCCGTATAAAACTGGGAGGAGACGGCAGTCTGTGCGGTTCGAGTTCCGAGACTCAGGCGGGTAGCATGTGAGGGGTGGGGAGTAATGGACGAATGGAAGCAGGATTATTATTCAGCTCAGCAGCGAAACGCGGGAGGGACGCTGGAAAGAAGGTAACACAGCGTGTTGGTGACAGAAATGTTCAGGAATTCTTCATGTTTCGGAGCAGAATGTGGATCAAACGGACTGTTGAAGCTGCTCCTGGATGAACACAGGGCTGTGAACGTAAAGTTTAGCTCGGACATTGAAAGCACCGCAGTGTGATTTTTTTTTTAACAATGTTTATTTATACAAAGTAAGTACAAAAAATCTTGCAATAGCAAACATGCCTCGAGAGAATATAGAAATAGACGCAAATAAAAGTGAAAATGTGATTTATGCACGTTATAGTAGAATATAATTTTTAGTCTTTAAGGCTTTTGACAGTAATTTAAAGTGGACAGATAAGAAATACAAGTTAAAAAAAACTATAAATCTGGGTTTTATTATGGGAAATTTACAGCTGTGGATATGAAATCTTAGTATAAAGTTTACAACAACAAAAAAAGTCTTCCTCTGAATATTCAAGCAGTAGAAACCAAACAGTTTTAGAGTTAAATGGTAGTTCCCAAGTTTGTGTTCACAAACAAGAAAGTGTGTTTCCAGAACAAGTGAGTATAAGTCCCAGAGAAGATGGTGATGGTCTCAGAGCGAACACACTGGCTCTACATTTGGACCATGCCTGGAGATTATTGACAGGATATTAACTTATCCTTAACTTTGCTGTATGTATTTTATATTATTTACACATTTTATATTCTGTATGTATTTTATATTCTTTATGTATTTTATATTCTTTATTCCTGTTGATCTTTGTTCTTACTGTAAAGTGTCCTTGGGTGTCATGAAAGGCGCTTTTTAAATAAAATGATTATTATTATTATTATTATTATTATTATTATTTCTGCAGACTCTTTAGGGACACTTATCGGATCTTATTAGTTATGAAATATTTTCTGCAGAGTGATGTTCTGTTTAAGGATGTATCCAGTCCACGCGTCACTGACAGAAACAATAAACAAATGAATGTTGAACTAAAGAAAATCAACGAGATTGAGGTTTGGATAAAAGTTTCAGATCATTGAAGCTTTGCAGGGATTATTTATGGTCACTAAAGTTAAACATTTAGGAAAGGTTTGTTTAAACGTGCTTTGGCTTTAAGTGACACATCTGCTGTTTTATGTGTTTTTTACCAAGTGGTTTTTCCATTTTGTCCCTCAGGAGACACTCGGAGACCCTCTGAGCAGTCGCTGGACATTACTGATTCTGTGCTCCGGAGCGAGAACAATTCAAAGATGAACAGCATCTTGTTCAACAAGCTGAGCAGCCAGGTCCTGTTTGAGGAGAAGGCCAAAGAGGTGGAAATGAGCAGCAGAAATTACCAGGAAGTCATTGATGGAAAACACCCAGACCTGCTGTCCAGCAGCCCGAGCTTCAGAGACAAGCAGGAGAGGTGCAGCGGGTATGTGGCTCTTTCTGTTGGGTCACAGCGTGTGTGTGTGTGTGGGTGTGGGTGTGTGTGTGTGTGTGTGTGTGTGTGTGTGGGGGGGGGGGGGGGCACTTCAGAGGAACCATGTGGACCTTTTTCCATCTGGATCTCACTCTGAGTCAAAAACAGCTCAGGCCAAATGAAAGGAGCAAATATAATTTCTAACATTAGAAATTGCTTTTCTCTGTCCCAGTAAAACAAAATCCTCAAGTTTTCATCACAACATTATAAATGTCATTAAAAAATATTCTCCAGCTATAGTTAAAATCACAACGTGTGCCAGAAGTTCTCTGGAAGTTTGTTCATGTCTGTTTTTTCTGCAGAGCTTTTGAATAAATGAAGAATATGTATTTCTGCTCTTGTTGGTTTTGACACCTGATGTGAGTATTAATGATCAGCTCAGACGGGTCAGTAGGCACTGATTATAAATAATAATTAATAATCAGTTAATAATTAAACTTATTAATATTCAGCTAGTATGTACTGATTATAAATAATAATTAATAATCAGTTAATTAATAATAAAACTGATTAATAATCAGTTTAGTTGGTGCTGATTATAAATAATTAATAATCAGGTAATTAATAATAAAACTTATTAATAATCAGTTCAGTAGGCGCTGATTATAAAGAATAATTAATAATCAGTTAATTAATAATAAAACTGATTAACAATCAGTTTAGTTGGTGCTGATTATAAATAATTAATAATCAGGTAATTAATAATAAAACTTATTAATAATCAGTTCAGTAGGCGCTGATTATAAATAATAATTAATAATCAGTTAATTAATAATAAAACTGATTAATATTCCGTTCAGTAGGTGCTGATTATAAATGATAATTAATCAGTTAATTAATAATACAATGGATTAATAATCAGTTTAGTAGGTGCTGATTATAAATAATAATTAATAATCAGTTAATTTAAATTAAATTTATCACATTCATACACTGATGGGACACACATCAGAGGCATTTAGGGTTTCTGTGTCTTGCCCAGGGACACTTTGACATGTGACTGCTGGTGGAATCGAACCCCCAACTCTCGTTTTGGAGGACGGCTGTTCTAACCACTCAGCCACAGCCACAATAATTAATAATCAGTTAATTAATAGTAAAACTGGTTATCAGTTCAGTAGGCGCTGATCATAAATAATAATTAATAATCAGTTGTTTAATAATAAAACTGATTAATAATCAGTTCAGTGGGCGCTGATTATAAATAATAATTAATAATCAGTTAATTAATAATAAAACTGATTAATTATCAGTTCAGCAGGTGCTCCTTTAGTGCTTTCAATCTGTTTCAACTCAAGGTAGTCTACTCTTCAGCTCCTTCTGCTCTGGTTCCCAAGGTCGGAGTCCCACAGGGCTCCTAAAATGATCTCCAGAATTCAGATACAATTGAAACATTAACCCTAAGATTATGTTGATTATCTTTGTAACAATATAAAACAATAATTCTTTACATATAAGAATGTTGGCTTCCTATGGTTTCATTTTTGTTAATCAGCTTAAAATAATTCAACACTGATCTTTGGGCTCATCAGTCTCTGCCAGAGTTATCTAATGGGTCAGAAGCTGAGAGGTTCAGGAAGCGTTGCTGGAGTTCCTTTCAAACTTCTTTTATTTAGTTGTGTGCAGCAGGAAGCAGGTGGAGGACCATGTTGTCTTCTTCATTTGGCAGGAGAGCAAAAACTTCATAGAGCCTCAGATCAGACACTCAGAAAGGTTCATAGGAAAATGTTTGTAGAACTTGAACCTCAGACAGACTTGAGGTTCAGCTTCAACACGTTACATCTGCAGTCTGGGCCACCATACTGACATCTATAGGTTCTTCAGGTGGGACCGAACTTGAACCAGAATAAGCTGACGATTCTTTTAGAGACTTTAAACTAAGAATGACTGAAAGGTTCCTTCAGGAACTCAACATATCTGTCAAATCACAGTCCTACAGTTACAACTGAAAACATCTGGATCTTCACAAACGTCCCTGCTAGGATTATTTTCAAAGCAGTCATGTCGGTTGATCTTTGTCTCGGCTGTAACGGAGTTCCTGCTCTGACAGAAACAGTTCCTGAGCACAAAGTTTGAGTTCCTTCTCAAAGTGTTGGTGGACTTCATGATTGAACAGAACTGGTCAGTTCTTCTTCTCTCTGTCCGCCTCCCTTCTTCCTGTCGTTCTTCGACAGTTGCTGCGTTTGATGAGAAGAATGTGTCGTGTTCACGTGTTTCTGTCAGCCTGCTGCTCTTCTCGTCCTGTTCAGCTCATTCCATCAGGAAATGATCAGTTGTGAAACGTTTGACTCACTTTGAACAGAACGTATTAATGTGAACTCCACCAAATGTTGGTCTCTTATTAGGAAAATAATTTTTACACATCTTGTTCTTTTTAAAAGAAACAAGGTAAACTCTTTGCTTTGTCTAATTATTTGTCTATTCCATCCTGTCTGAATGCTTGGTGCTTGTGCGCAGCGGTCGACCTGGTGGAGGCAAAGTGCGACACAAGCGCCAGGCCCTTCAGGACATGGCGCGGCCCCTCAAACAGTGGCTCTACAAGCACAGAGACAACCCCTACCCCACCAAGACGGAGAAAATCCTGCTGGCACTCAGCTCCCAGATGACTCTGGTCCAGGTGAGCCTCCTTGTTCTCCTTGAAGGAGTCGAAATGAGTGATGTCCTGCAGGTGTGAGAGGGACGAGTCTGCTGAGGATTCGAACTTCTCCTGAACACGCTGCAGCTCAGAACACATTTATTTCTTCTCTTCTCTTTAACCACGGCCTCTAGAAGTGAGTTGACGCCTGCTGCTGTGGGACTGAAGTTCAGATGTTTGTTAGTGAACTTTCTCAATCAGCTTCAGGCTCTGCTGTTCATTTGCTGCTCAGCTCATGCTTACTCTCTTTTATTTTTCTTGTTTTATTATCATCCTCTTTATATTGAATATTCTTTTTACTTCAACTATTCTCTACAATTTTCAGCATCTTTCTCGTCCCGCAGTTTTCAGCTGTTTCAACAAATCATAAATTGAAATGTTCAGCTCTTTCAGGACAATCCTGCTATGACTTTTGGTATTGGTGCAACTTTAGCTTGTAGAAATATTTAGCCTTTTCTGACATTTTTTTCCTCATAGAAAATGAAATTAGCTCATTTTCCATCCTTCAGCTCTTTAGATGTGTTTAGAAGAAGCTTTTTCTGCTACCTTCACATTTTGTTTTGCTTCAGCTTATTTCTGCTTCCTTCTGCAAATAAAAAAAAAAATCAGCTACTTTCAGTCAATTTCAGCTGTTTTTTAGCTGTTTTGTGCTCCTTTCTGCTTTTTTCTAACTACAATATTTTTGAGCTTCTTCTAACTTCTTTCTGCTAATTTCAGCTTGTTCTGCTCCTTTCAGCTTTTTTTTCTGCTCGTTTCAGCTATTTCTGTTATTTCAGCAACTGTTTGGCTATTTTATGCTAATTTGAGCTTTTTCAGCTAATTACACATTTTTTGCACTCATTTAAACTTTTTCAGGCTAATTCAGCAAAAATTTGCTCTCTCGACTTCCTTCTGGTAATTTAAGCTTATTTCTGCCTTTTCAGCTACTTTCAGCTATTTTTGCTAATTTCAGTATTTTTGGCAAATTTACTTTTTTTTTTTTTTTTTTGCTAATTTTTGGTTATTTAAACCAAACTGAGAAAATCAGTGTTCTTTTGGCTTTCTTCTGCTGACTTAGGCTTTTTTCTTCAATTTCAGCTGTTTTTAGCTGCTATTCAGCTGTTTTACAGCAGGTTCTTCAGCAATAAGCCCTCACACTGCATTTTTGCGGGAAATGCAATTTGTCTATCCATCCATCCATTATCTTTACCCGCTTATTCCATTTTGGGTCACAGGGGTCGCTGGTGCCCATGTCCAGCAATCACTGTGCGAGGGGCGGGGTACACCCTGGACGGGTCGCAAGTCCATTACAGGGCCACATAGAGACAAACGAGACAAACAACCATTCACTCTCTCACTCTCACCTAGGGACAATTTAGAGTTACCAATCAGCCTAACATGCATGTTTTTGGTCTGTGGGAGGAAACCGGAGCACCCGGAGAAAACCCACGCATGCACGGAGAGAACATGCAAACTCCACCCAGAAAGGCCCCTGGACCGGGGTTTGAACCAAGGACCTGCTCGCTGAGAGGCAGCAGCTCTACCAGTTGCACCACCGTGCTGCACTGCAATTTGTCTAGTTTGTCGAAAATAAAAACGTTTTGGAGATTTCCATATTGCGATCTGCTCTGGGATTAGGTCTGTCATAATAAACAATAAATTATTAGGGATGCACCGATCCACTTTTTTTTTACTTCCGATCCGATCCCGATACCTAAATCTGAGTATCGGCCAATACCGATCCAGTTCCGATATCATCATTATCATTGATTTTATATGAGGCTGTAATAATCTCCTCTCAAGTACAATTTGTACAAATATATGCATGCATGTCCAAAAAGGCAACTTGAGATAAGTTTTATTAATGTTGGATAAGTTTTAAAGTTAGAATTCTGCTAACACAAAACATGTTTCTTTTTATTCCTAGTTTTAAAGTGGATATTAAAGTGACTAATTTAAGTGATTGTTTAAAGTTATTTTATATTTTATAAGGGGCAGATATAAGATTTTTTTTCTTCTTTCTGCACTCTTCATTCAATGTTTTCTTTTTGATGATTTTTTTTTAAATTTTGTTTCATTTGAATGAATGAATAAATTAATTAAATTAAATACAATGTTAAATGGCTTCAAACATCTGCTAAGTTCATGGCATAAACCAACAGACATGTTCCTGTTTTTAGTATTTTACATCACTTTATAATGTAGCTGTTTATGTTTTTAATATATATAATTTTCAAATCATATGTTTTTATGATTGTCTACTGTTGTACTGATAAATATCTCCTGGAGGGTAAACTATATCTTGACTACAAGTATCAAGCTAGAAATCCTTCGTTTTCTACAACTGATAGCAGTTGGTCATTAATTATGATGAAGTTTAGCAACTTCTCTGTAAACATTTGAGCTCCGTGGTTTCAGCGATGTCTTCTTCTTGTTCAATACAAAGCAGGCAGCCTGATTTGGGGCAGCTGCGCTCAGTCTGTCCCTCCTCAGAGACGGGCAGACTGATCGGGGCAGATTGGACGCCGCTGGCCGGGGTCGAGTTGCCTCTTTCGGTTTGACCAAAGAGTAGTGCCCCGCTGAAGCCACGGAGCTCGAATGTCCATCGTAAAACTAACTTTACCGCGGTTTAATGTGGCACTATGGCTCTGCAGACATTGTACGTTGCTGTCTTGTTTTGTGGTGTTTCTAATGTAAAATACTTCCACACAGCGGACATGTTTCAATGAAAAGTTTGTTAGCTGTTAGCCACAGTGCTGCTAACTCAGTCCTCAGGTTGTAGCTGGCTGCAAACTATGAACTGGATTTCCTGAATGTGAGGCGGGTCTTATTACGCTGGGTTCATGAGACACGCCACCGTCCAGGAAATCCATTCCATAGTTTGAAGCCAACATGTATCATGGATCGGAAATATCGGCAGGTGGATCGGAAAAATCCGATATTTAGATTATGCTGGTATCGGAGGCCGATACCAATACTGGATCGGATCTGCCCCATCCCTACAATAAATCAATGAAAATTGTCTACCTCATTTTCATTTATTGGCTTTATCGTTTCTTCGTGTCTCTCTTAAGACATTGGATGACAAAAGGCTCAACTCCGGTACTATTCACTGACCCCTCCCGTTCTCTTTTTTCTTTAAAATCTGTTTTAAACATCCAAAATCGCATTTTTGGACCGTTAAAAGCAGCTAAGCTGAGAAGCTATCTATGAGCTAAGCTAAGAGGCTAATCTCGGGAAAAAAACTCCGTCTTGTCAAAGCTCCAAAATTTACGGTTGAAACCCGTGCCTTCCAATAAAAAGTTGTTTTTCTCTGCAAAAAGATGCTGAGAAATTGTTTACTGATTTTTTATTAAAAGCTATGCTAAAGAGCTCAAACCACACAGAGTGTCCACCACTTTGAGAGCTGAAAAACAGGAATGTGTGCCCATGTCACGTCAAGGGACCTCCCTACCATTTTTCTTAAAGAGACATGCTGCTTGCTCCCTCACTATCCATCCTCTGGTTCAAACAGTCTTGTTCTGCCATCCAGTGGTCAAAAAAAGGTACTACACACAAAAATTAACCAACATTTCTTCTTAAATTTGACAATAATTACTAATTATTGTCAAATTTCAAACAATGTTATCGTTTATCGCAAAAATTTCTGAGACAATTAATCGCCCAGCAAAATTTGTTATTGTGACAGGCCTATATGGGATTTCGATGTAGAGAATGTGACTAACTCCAGCGTGCAGCAGGGGAACATTGGTGTTTTTGTTATTATTCTTATTATAACTTGATAAAGACATGAAGAACTACTCATTTAATGTTCACATTTCATTTTTTCAAAACTCTGACAGCGCTGGTGTTAAGAGAACAACTTGACTTATCAGACAGTCTGACCGCTGAAAGGAAAACTCAGCACTGAGCATCGTGTGTGTGTTCTTCCTGTGGCATGTGCAGCTGCGTGTGTGTGTGTACAATATCGTCTGGCTGACGAGGTCGCAGATATAACCTCAGAGAGTCTGCAACTTTTCCAGGCTGCAGGCCACCAAGCTGAATCTGCTTCTCATTTTCGGGGCGAGCTGCTATGGCAAGCCCTTTTAACATAAAATCGGATTCACCACGCTTACATTCCAGATATCTGAAACTGAGTTTTGACTAGACATATTAGTTATTTAAGATATCTTGAATTGCATTTTGACTAGTCAAAATACTTATTTAAGATATCTCTAATTACATTCTGACTAGTCATAATGACGTCAGATTTACCATTGAGTTGTATGGAGGTTTCAATTCAAGATATCTTGAACTGAATTTTGACTAGTCAAAAATACAGTTCTAGATATCTCTAAATTAATTTTGACTAGTCATTATTTGCTTTCAAGATATCTCACTTTTAG